TGGTATTACTCCCCTTGTTAGTGTTGACGGCGATCTCACTTTTGCGTCGGTCAGAGTCCGTTGTTTGAGGTGTCGCGTAACAGCAGGTACTACACTGACACAATCGTCACTGTCAGTGCCGGTGTTGTTAGCGCATGTGTCATCGTTTTTATTGCAGGCCAAAGCCAATGGGCCCATAGCCTCCTAAATTAGTACCTTTTTATCCGTGCAGCAGAACATACAAAGCCAATGCGAGTTAGGCTTCGAGCTTCTTTTGTATGCCATTGGACTTAGGCGTGTACACATTTTGTGGTACCACGTTTTACAGTCATCACACTGCATTCCCTCCTCAACGGGGAACAGATAATTTTGTTGCCCACATTTGTGAGTCTTGCCAACTATTGTAATTAGATTTAAAAGCTTTAAAAACACACAATGATCACAATGTGAACACAAGTGTTAGTCTAGGAGTAAAAACAGGTACCTAGGACAAAATTTAGCAAAAAGAATTCAAACCTTAACCAAAGTACTTTTAGTTAAAGCAGACCAAGAATGCTTTTGGTGCAATTAGTACCAAAAGCAAGTATAATCACAACAAGTACAAAAATCACTGCCTTTTTAAACGAGCGCGTAAGTATAAATAAGATTTCCCGCTTCACTTCGTTTGGTTGTCATGTGCAGAGTCAAAATTGCGAGAGGGATTTTGTACTTATATTTCCACATCTATTTATTACTCCTAAACACATTGAAAAGCGCTGTTGACTCATCTCATACCAGTCCTAGTCTTGTGAACATTACTCGACAAACGGAAAAATTATACGATTACTGTGAATTTTAATGCAAAAATTTAGAATTTTATTAAACACTACTCCCGAATATGGGTCCTTTACACACTAAACGGACGAAGTTTCCTTCCGGTACGTCTAAACATTACACTTCATCATCATTTTTCTTAACTTGAATATCTTGGAGCTAGTAGGGCATCTTATATAGTTATATTATTTAACATTATATCTGGAAAACGGAGTATACTATAGTCAGAACCTACATCTTTACTGATTTGTCATTGAAGTTCACCGAAATCCTACTACTGTATACTTCCAGTTAAAATATGGTTTTAAATCTGCTTTCGCAAGCGTGACTCTCCATCCATGAATGATCACTTCACATTTAAACCACAATCTCCAGATGGTTCTACACGACAGGTTAAGAAAGTAAATATTCCTTACTTCAACAACAAAAAACTACATTAATGATATAAAGCTTAAGAGCAACTCATCCAATCTATTGGCGATATCCCATTTCCTTTTTATGTCTGACTATATGCAAACTGAAAAAGTATAGCAGATTGAGACTTTCTCACACTGAAAAGCAGCGGAAGGTATGATGCACTTATATCGCTTCACAAGCAAATAAACAACAAGATCCCCGGACATATTTCCCCCAACCAGGTAGAAATAAACGTCTTTAAAGCCTGTGGCATTTTGGGTGTCCTACATGACTGTCAAAGATTGTGGGAGAAACTGACAGTCCAACTGGACAGTTCTTTCTCGCCTCAGTTCAACCCTCGAGATGGCGATAATTACATCATAAAAAGTAGCAGTCAAAAAATACACTTATTATTGAAGTTAGAATTTTCCTGTGAAGAAAAATGCTCAATAAGCCTATTCCGTCTACATCTAGTGATAAACAACCTGTCAGAATCAAAACATGAACTTGCGGTGCGCTTCTAAGCAGCTGATGATGTCACAGGTATTCAGTGTTTGACAACGCTTCTACCAGTAACACCTTCTAATATATTTCGTTCCCACCCAGAGAAATCAAAAGACAGAGTCGAGGAGATCGAAAGAGTATATTTGGCCATGACCAATATATCGGAATTCTCTGATCTAATCTGGCTAGCGATTGCGGTTGATGTTAAGCACGGCGTTACCACACGTGATCTGGTGCGGATGCCTGACCGAGCGCCTTCAGCTAGATGAGTACACTAAAACATATGGTCAGCATCCAATGTCGAAAACTTACAGAGCTATTTATTTTGGGGATTTACTTACCGCTACACAGCCATAGAACATCTTGCACCGGGTCATATTCCTCGACTAACTGAATACATCTTTAGCATAGTAATGTATAACTATTTCACACCGACACATAACCTTACCCCTTCGTCACATCTGATCGCACAATTGCTCCTGCAACTGCCGGAATCAGTGCCTACACAGTTTAGACGTAACCCTCTAGAGCGTAGAGCATTATCTGAGTCAGTCTGTCAAACTTCATTTAAACTACGAAACAATCCAACCCTTCTAATCCATAAGATGTTAAATGACGCTCAAATATGGTTCAAACAACAGTTATGTCCTATCTTGATAGCAACCAGTTAAATCAATATATCACCTGACACAACTGCAAATCATTGCCCAGTCCGTACATATTAAGGTGCCATATCTAAGAAACCTAGTACTTTTAAGCAACCTCACACTTCTCCCTGTAATTCAAAGCTATCTTTCAATGTATAACTATTAAGTTTTTCGTTGTGATAGCACCTATAAGAATGAGCGAGGTTGTTTTGTGTATATCTAGATCTACGTGATTAACGACATATCTTGATGTCACACAGCCCTCAGTAGCGCATAATAATACAAAACCCATTAACCCCTGTGAGAACCCTCAAAAAGTGTAGACTTTAGTTTCTATTCTTAACTTCGCAATGAACGGGAGTACGACAACCAACATTTCATTTGTGAACCATCGAATGGGTGGTCCCGGAACAGTGTGAATATATATCAGGCGTCAATGTTAACTGCATTATGTAGAACAAGCTCAGTTGCATAAACTTCAACCTCACCAATTTCTAAAATGCATGTCGTCCACTTTATGCTTAATAAATTACTTTGATTAAATTACTCGACTTAGTGATCAAGAGAAGATAGAGATCGTACTATAATTTGAGATAAAAATGCATTCAAAAGTCAACCACTAGGTTGGTCTAAGTCGATTTTTCGAGTCATTACAGCATAACTAAAGTTAATTTTGTTACATCTACACCTAGACCTATCTCTAATCGTGCTGTACAAAGAACCGTCTTTGGTCCATTTTATGTGTCAACACTAAGTGTAAATGCTTCTTCGCATGCACACCGTGTTTATGCGCTGACGACATGAGACTTATTCATAAATTTGAACTCATGGAATTCGGAAGTGATTTACAAACATTACAGGATGGACTGAATAAGGTAAATATTGGTGCTTGGGGTTTAACAATGAGAAATGAGGTTAACACTAAAACATACCCTTGACAATACTTTATGTTCTAGACTTAATTACAAAACTGACCTAGGGGTGAATTAAATTCATGCCCCAAACTTCTCTGAACATATGTCCACTGAAGTATCGAAATAGAAGGGATCGTTGGACGAAATTTCCATCAAGATAAGTCCCGAATCCTACCATACCAGAGTTGTATTAGATCTGTGCTTTAATACTGTCCTTTCATTTTAGGAACTTACGCCTATTTTCTGAGCTGAAGGAAGGAGAACACCAATGGTGCTTAAAACTATATATCACTATAGATGCCGATGAACCTGATTGTTTTCTACTGACTAGTTGCTAATCTGAAAGTCTCAAATATGATTTAGTCGACACAAAATAATCCGTTATTATTCGTTATGAACTCTACTAGCCGAAGAGGATAAGTGAAGTTGTGGAATTCATTAAGACTTAAGTACAAATATGAAATACTGAAGTCAGGACTATATCCACAAAAATAATAAATTCTCAATTAAAATACTAATATTTAGACGAAGAATATTCATTTTGTTAAGTTCTCTCTAGATTCTACAATTATGCATTCGAATGAATAATCCGGAAAGTGGTCAGTTTTAGGGCAACGTGCATCGTTTAAAGTTGAAGCACGGTGTGAATAAGCGAGATGAAAACGGTGAATAAAAAACCTCTGTTCATGCTCCGACAATCCAGAGGGGATGTGGCTAGCGAAATATTAACACAGAGATTACGCATAACAGTCCATAAAATCTGTCAACAGCGGAGAACTACGATTAGTATTTTCTACGCGCCAATGGTAACATTGAGGCCGAAAGATGAATTACCTCGCTCCTGAGGAGCGAGTTATATTGTTCAGAGTTCTAGGAATTTACATTTCCGCGCTCCAAAACACTTCCTAGCGTGACTACGCAAATGTCTGGTGAAGAAAGTGAACAGCTCGATACTGGTCCATTTAGTGCAAACTGGTCATAGTGCCAGCATGAACCAATCCTTTTCATTTATTTATCGGGTTAGTAATTTTTGTCAAGGCTTGTCAGACTGAAAGTTCTTCGAACGACCATTTATACCCAAATGTAATTGTCTATGTTGTCTTTGATCATAAATCTTTGTATTATTATTACTATTGGTTAAGCATCATTATTAATCTCCCCGATAAACGATTCATTTACTCTGCATCCATGCAACCTATTATGTCTTAATAATTTTGTTTTACACAACAGTCTCCAACTAAAACTTCTATTGAGTTGTAATTATCTCTCTCACCCTGTCTAACCTATAGTTATTCTGGTCATGGATCCTAAAATTCTCACTTAACATGTAAGGTGATCCGAGTTAACATTCCATATAAGTCATATCAACATTAACAACTTTATTTTATTTGACAATCCCGAGTTTAAACGATGCACTTTGCCCTAAACCTGACCACACTTCGGATTATTAATTTGGATATATAATTGTAGAACCTGAAGAGAATTTATCGGAAAAAATATTCTTTGTTCAAATATTAGTCTTTTAATATGATACGGATCCTTAAACAATTAAGATTCCCAATTGATGTTAAATATATCTCTTCTTATAGGGAACCTTAGTGTACAAAAGGTTCTTAGCCAAATATTTACCTGTAATTTTAATTCTCCTTACGAAAAAAATGTCACATGATAAAATGCTTAGTATACAGATTTTAGGATTCGAAGTTAATGTTCATCGAGGTAAAAAAAAGAGTAAAACGTATCTGCTTAAAAATTCATGAATTTTTAACTTATTTTAATACTGTATATTATTTATTTCAAAACTGGAATAGCATCAGAGGGAAAGGATTTTATACAAAGATTTAGATATCGTCATCACTAGGAGGCAATTCACCTTCTTCCATACTTTCATTATCTTCGGGTGATTTTTCACACGGACTTGCACACGTTGTATCCATTGTAATTACAGGAGAAGCAGGTTGTGAAATTTCACCTTCCAAAATAACTGGTTCTTGAGAACTGTGAATATCTAAAGGAGAAGGACAATCGGATTCGACTGATTTCGCTGGATTGCTTGGAAGTTCGCATACAATGTCTGACTCTTCATATTTCCTTACACGACGAGAATTCCTGCGAGCTCTACAAAAAACAATAATTCGTCACTCACAGGAAGCGAACACGTGTATTTACTCTTTAAGTTTATAAGTAAATACAGAATTACACATTAACCCAAAAACAAAACTGATTATCATCATCTAAAAGGATGAAATTCAAGGATTTTTTAGTGTTAAGTCAGTCGAAATCCTCAGGCTATCAGCCTATCGTGAAAACTAAAATATAGTGTACGTGAAACGGTAATATTTCCCTAGGTTAATTAAATAAAGGATTAATAAGAATTTTGAACATAAAAGGCCCATAAGACAAAAAATATTACTATGGTAGTTGTTTTTTAGTGAAGTGTTTAAAACATAAAGTGTGTCTACATGATATGGCAACTAACTTGCTGTATGGTTAGTTAATTAAACCATTAACGAATATAGAACAATGGGCCATCCATTACAATCACAATGAAAGAGAATAAACAAAGAGAAAATAAATCACATACCTCAAGAACTAACACCCTAACTACAATAAGATTTCTCTAACTGTATGATTATGAAATTAATAGGAAAATTTTAGGAGAATAAATAGACTATTCTGGAAATCAAGAGCTGAGGAAACGGAAGGGATTGAACAATGTTCTGACAGAGATGAGAAAAACAGAAGAGATAGGTCCCACTGTGGTTAGAGAGCCCCACGATTGTTAGGGGAACTTCTTGTCCGTTGGTACGAGCAGACACTCGATAATGACAACTGATGTCAAGAGATTTTGTCACCTTACTTTTATAAAAACAAGAAGAAAAGGTTCTCAAAATACACTAGGGTTCGTGTGATCGAGTCATTATTCATGGGGATAGTTTTCTACTCCAGTACGATTATTGATTAGTCCGCCTATATCCCCTGTAGGATCGGTGATATTTTATTTACCAAATGAAAAACAGCCAAGACATTAAGACTTATGGGTTGTCGGGGTCCCACTACATCAATGTCTGGCTAGAAGACGCAAATAGAAAGCTAATTCATCCTCTACTGTACTCTTTTCTATTATGACTCGAATAAAATGTGGCATTAAGTGTAGACCCTGGCCACATCTTTCGGCGAGACTATAGTTTATGGACGAACCAATCAGATATAAGATAACGAGCTTTGAATTGTGGCGTGAAATTCACACAAATTTAGCTAAATAGAGTTTTAGCATTATAGCTGATGTCACTTTGTGATGAAAACCATAAATCTAAATTTTAAGCCTAACCATCAACCGTAAATCATGATTCTAACTGGTTTATAACCCTCATTTAGTCCTAATAAGTAGGTGTCCATTCTCAGGGTCACTTCAGCATCGCTCGAAGGTCGTCCATGAATTATAGTCTCACTCATCTTTCCTTCTAAAAGAGATATTGTTTCTGCAGTCATGTTAAAACCAATTCACGCAAACATACCCAGCAGCACAACTTCACTTTGAGCTCCCGATTAATGTCAAAAATACATATTTTATAACTGTAGAGTGTTTGATGAATTGATAAATTTTCTACTATCTAAAGCCAGGTTACCTGAGTTTTAGGGAACTATTATAGATTTAACTGTTGTGAAACATATTGAAATCAGATGATTTTCACTCAAAATTGTGAGATGAATATACTTCAACAAATCTCCAGCTTTATAAAATACCTGTTATAGACTCGAAGAATATCTTAAACTTAAGTGAACATTGAATCACACGGATTAAATACTTTTATTTTAAATACCTTTTCAACTTATCCTTCATTTGTCTATCAATTAGAAATATCAACTTCTTTTCTTCTTTCTTTACTGAATAGGAATGTTTGATTAGATTAAGATAAACACCACCAGGTGATCGTCTTCGAGACCCATCCTAACGAAATCGATTGAAAAACAAAGATAGAGTAAGCTATGAAAGAATAAATATAGAGTCTAAAAGTGAAACATTAGTTTTTAGGTCATTATGCAACTGATTATGGAATGTATAGAATTTGGATTTTATTCTTTTGATATGGTCAAGAGTTAAGAGACATGAAACTGGGTAAATTGTAACATCTTAGTAGCTAAAGCATCCTCTGTATCCTTACTAAGTTATATGACTTGATAGTTAATAGAAAATCTGGGTGAAGATTTTTAGGTAGTATATTACAGTTAAACTATCTTTTGACGTGCTCCAATCAGCAACCGCGTGGCTTTAAAGATTGCTACATAAGATCCCGTCGACCTCATAAATAATCTGACCTACACGAAACTTTGGGCAAGTGGTTTGGATGAGCATCAATACCTGAAGGTTACAAAATACACCAGCTGCTTTTATATTAACAGAGCATTTCGAGGTCCTAGCGAGAACTTTATGGAGCTCTAGAGAAGAGAATTCGCATACATTCCTATATTCCTATTGTCAGAATAAATCGACGAGCGTCAAGAACTTGAAAAGATTATAAGTGTTAGTTTTTGTCTCAATCACTCTGAAATTCGCACCAGTCAATAAAAAAACAAGAGAAAATATGTCTAAATCCAAAATAAACTGAAGACGATCGTTTCCAGCGATTTGAATGACTGTATTCTCAACTACGTAACGTTTTGTATGACACAGCTTTCAGTAGATATACAAATTTGAAAAAAAAGTTTCAAAAATCAGGAAATTTTATAAACTACTATGATGGTTAGTGTGAATCGTGCATGACCACAGATGAATTTACTTGTTATTAACTACTAGCTATCAATTAGACTCATATGAATACATGATCTGATTATTTATTTCATTTTATTTAAACACATAAACATAGGTATAAGAATGCACCAAATAGATATGCGCCACAAAAATCATTCGATCTGTGTGAGGGCTAGGATACTGCCCGGGTGCCTGAACCGAAGTAGGTAAAGCTGAGAGTGAGGAGAGTCAGCTCTGCCTCTCGAAATGCTTTCACATAGATACGTGGGTACAACTACTGCCAGGGGAGTCCTACTCACTACCTTCTCGTGGCGGGGATGTTGTTTACGAAATTGAGTGGACAAAAAGCGAATGTTCGGCGCTTTAAGCGAGTTGATGGATACAGGAGTTCCATCCTGGGGAGTTGGAAAACTCTGATTCCAAACCAGTGGTGTAACTGGTCAACAGGATCCAAAGGAAACAAATGGCGTATGAACCTGTTGTTGGTCGCCAACTACCATGGGACTATATCTCCCTACGTTTCTCCAACGCCTTGTGGATTAGACCTTTAAGTCAAAGGCTTCGGGTGCGGCCTCCTAAGAGAACCACTTACTTAGGTTTGGGCGCCCAGGCAGTATTCCAACCCTCACAAAATTTGAATTTGTGTGGCGCATATCTGTTTGGTGCCTCCTTGTACCAATGTTTGTGTTTAAATAAATAAATGGTCTTACTTTCATGGATCTACATATATTGGTGGTTGGTACTAGTTACAAGTATCTAAGGTGATTAGACTGCAACTAATACGTAACTAAGAGTGGGGTTTGCAAAACAATCATTAATTCAACTTGACTAGATGCTTCTGATGACATGAAACAACTGAACAAATGTAAGACTTTCAGGATTCAATGCGAAATAAGTGGATAGAATTTCATTAACTTTAAAGTAGTTAGGTGTCGGTTATTCATGAGTTATATGGTCAGAAAAATGATAGATGTTAGAAATATCAGCTAAAAGAACGCTTTGCTGAAGAAAGGTTAACTACGTATATAGGTATTCTGGGAAATTTTACTGCAAACTAACATTTAGTTGAAGACCCGAAATAAAATGAGATGATGACAAATTGCCTTCCTAGTTCTGTTCCAAAGAGATTTCTTTAACCTTTGTATTGAATTACAAACAAATACTAAATGTAATAATTATTGATTGAAAGCATTAGGTAGTGTTTATTTCGTTTAGCAAGTTTGTCACAAACTGTGTAGTGTCAGAAAAAGTAAGAATTACTGATCATTGTTTTTTGTTATTGGACTGAAAGAAAACGTGACATACAACAAATGCTTGATAATTGCTTAATTTTAAAGACATATCTTATGCAAAACGGTCAGAGGTCCTATGCACACAATGGTCAGCTGGAGTTCATCTGCCAACTGAGTCTCAGCAAAGAACCAAAAAATATGTTACGAATTTATAACAAAACCATAATATATAAGTTTCTTTTTTACGGACGAGACAAATGTGTAAGTTTTGAAAGAACTATTCAGCTAAACAATCCTCATATGTCAAGTAAAGCTGGACAGATTGTTTCATCACGGTCCATTGATAATCTACGTTCACTAAAATTTAAATAGTACGGGGGAGAATAATATCCTACCAAATACCATAATTGAATATACTAATGAAAACAGGATAATTTACATTATATAAACGCAATATAGGTTTACATATGGTGTGACAATTAAAATGTAGTGAGGTGAAGAAACGCGCTATTATGTGGAAACCTACCATTAAGTAGAGACCACCATTGTTCTCGATATCTTCCGTAAGGTAGTAAAATTCGAGAGCTCTCTGAACACCCAAAATATCAACAGTTCGCTCTGTACGATATCAGTTATAGTGTAAATGAAAACATACTTATTAAATCCTCGTTCGGTTCTTTTAGTAGATTAGTGATAGTTTCAGCGACAAGATCGGGTGGACTGTCGAAAGTAACATCAATATGTGATCTAGATACTTCCTGGTCCCATAGAAGTGGTCCAAGCCGTTGCTTGATAGAGAGATCTGATTTTTTTAATATTCTGAAAAATATAAATTTACGTGTGGACTTTCAAACCTAGTAGACAACTCTGGTTGCGTGCATACTTCAATAGTCTTCCGTTCATCATCAGTATCTGTATTAACCAAATAGCTTTCAACACCCCTGCTAGAGTCACATTTCTACAGTAAAAGCTAGATTATGTTGTTTTGATTTACTTCATGAACATGAGCTACTGACAAAGCATCATCCAATTTGTATTCGTTGATAACATTTACCCAAACACAGTTGCGATTTTTTCTATATGGTTTCTTTGGGATATTTACACTGAAATCCTCTTTCATTGGTGAGGCTCGAATATCTGATTTTCTTCGTTTCCAACAAATGTCATCATTGCTGCTAGATTCATCTTCAGAAGAAGAATGGAGAACTTCTCTGTACGCCATTTCAAAGCTACAGAAACAATACATTATAAGAGCCATTTGTATAAAATCCAACAACAATAATTATCCTATGGAAAATACATCAAACACTCGTTAAGATGTCGTTAATGAGCAGAAAAACACAGGATTCATAAATAATACATCTAAAGTATTGTAGCAATACACTTATATGTGAGGATCTCCCCTCGAAATTAAACATATGGTTGATTATGTTTAACGACAATTTTGATAGCTGATAAGTTATTGACGAGATTTTTATTGAAGTGGTGATATCGGTGCCATGGAAATTTGCTACCAGGTTGTACTTGTATTGAAATATAAGCAAAATGGAAGATCAGATGTTGAATCCATGTTTTTTTGTGTCGCCATTACCAGAATCATCAGTAATTATTTGAAGATATACCACTCACTAGTACTGATAATTTAGGATTCCCTGAACCTTTTACAGTAAGCAAAACGACCTAATAGATTAGAACAAATTTGTTCAAATAACTTAGTAGATCTCGGCGTCTTCAACATTTTATATAATTCTAGATCGTTTAAGTCCATATTACTAGCCTCCTTAACCATCAAACGATGATGGGCCTGAGATATATATAGTGCTTAATTTAGAAGTAGATTCTTAAATAATTGTAGACTTCATACTAAATATCATGGTGGACCGAATCAAACCACAAATGTAGATGAGCAAAATCATACCAACCAACTTAGTCAATGCGGGTTGATAACTCAGATATACGTTTTTAAGTTGCTGTTTAGTCATCTTTGAAAAAAGGATTACAAAATGCCTTCAATCCTACAGGTAGACAGAAGCACAACTATTTCCAACAGTGAGTTAGCTTAGATGAGTTTGCGTTTCAACAGTATAAAGAAATCAGGAAGACTGCAAAACCTTCCGAACACATCAAAAAAGGTACGGATGGACAGGTGAAAAACTACAGTCGAGCATAGCGTTGATGGTTTGTGGGGTAATTGTGTCTATGCAGCTTCACCAGTGGTTGATTTTTACTCTTGTGCCTGTGGTCATTGAACAAAGATTGGTAACACTTGTTTTGCTTTAAGAGAAGTGCAGCTTTTAATAGAACTATTCCCGTCTATTTATGTAATGATAAGAACAGACGTCAAGCCTATATGTAAGGTGGTGGTTGGAGATAGTCGATAATCGATATGTACATTGATAATTCTAACATCGACATTGCAAGCTCCGTGCTTTCACTGCACATGAGTTGTGTTTTGAAAACAATTACAATTAAATACCTGTATTTTTTAGACCCCCATACTGAATTGCTAGACTTCAGTCAAATAGTATGAAAGGCGAACTGCTGAACAGTACAATCGACCCTCGGCATACGGGTGATATTAGTCTTAAGTAGTGATAATCGAGAAATATCGACAGGGCTCTTTATACCTTTCCAAACGTTTTATGGGTTGCAAACCCACTACACATGATAAAACTCTCCAAATGAGGCTGATAAAAGAAACAACCTGGTGAATCGATTTTTGTTTATCAATGTGCTAATAAAAGTCAATATTTAAACAATACAAGTCGGACAGGGGGGAAGTTTATAAGAAAAATATTTTTATCCTTTCTCTATATCAATGAAATGCGTATTTTAGGTTGTATAATTTATCAAGAATGTTGTTTATAAACTTAAGGCGTATTTTTATGTTCCCAGACATGAGAACTATGTATTTGAAAATTTGGAAAACCATGAGAAAACAATAAGTAAATACTCGACCAAAAAATGGTATATTGACATTCTAGCCCAGCGTAGCCTTTCGCTGGACAGCCTATAGGGTGAGAAATTAGAAGTCAACTAGTGAGAAAATCTAAAGCTGGGATGAGATATATTGGTTAGTTATCATCTTGGACAAACAAACAAACCCTACGGAATATTGGGATTGTTTTACTCACTGTTAAAACCTGAAAATCTATTTTAAAGCTACTTAGTTTGCAACTGACTACTGCTAAAACTAGATTAGGAACCCATCGCTACTCATTCTCGAATTAATAATAGGCTGCGAATGTCTAAACATATCATGAGAAGTTGAGAAAGGGAGAACGATAACATAACTCCCACGATAAGTAAGAAACTACAAACGAAGAGTAATAATGAGCAAAGTAAGGACTCCTAACCATTGTCCTTCCGCCTGAATAGCGGCTGAGCCACGGATTTCTAAAGCATGTACATGCTAAAACTAAGTCGAGTTTGAGAACCACAGGAATTACTTTCGACCACTAAATTAGCGCCGCTATATTAACAAACTCATGGTCCGTTGACTAGTCTTTATTTATTCCATTTGGTTTTTTTGAATTGAACTCAAATGGACACGTGAGTGGTAATTGGAGTGAAGACAAAACACACTACAAAAGACGTATGTTCACTACTCAAATGAAACCTGTACTAGATCAATAGTAAAAATGAAAGACAAACCTTGAAGACTTGGATACGAATAATCTAAGAAGTCAAGAAAGCATCCTTGGATTTTCCCTAGGAATTTGATTCAAATGTTCACATCTTTAAAGCTCTACGTCAAATTTGACTGACAGATCATTTGCTTTTGTATTAGTTTCCGAAACGTCCTGAATGAGCCTCCAAGTCGAAAACAATGAAGCTAAGATAAACATAAACTTATAACGACAAATTAAACGCTGAAGATAAATCACAACTTTAAGAGTGATACATGAGTGTGATTTTGTGTAGTAGTCCGTAACCATAGACCTTCCAGTCGTCTGAAAGAGGATACGAACATCCCCTTAGAACAGGTGCGGAGACGTGCAACAAAATGGGGGTGAGACTATAATCTATGGACGACCTTTTAGCGACACTGAAGTGACCTTGAGTGAACAACTTCTAATTAGGACTAAATGAGGGTTATAAAGCAGTTAGAATTCTCATTTATAGTTGATGGTTAGGGTTTAAAATTAGATTTAGGGTTTTCATCACGAACTGACACCAGCTATAATGCCCAAACTCTGTTTAGCCAAATGTATGAACGAATTCCGCACCAAATTCGTGAATCATCAACTTATATCTGATTGGTTCACCCATAAATTATAGTCTCGCCGAAATCTGAGAGGTGATCTGATCAAAGTCCAGATCACCTGGATAAAGTACTTCTTACTTAAGCTTATTATCAAGCTACAAGTTAATACTTTCCGAACCACGTACGCAGTCGTAGGTTATCTTTCGTCTGGAATGGCAGTTGAATACATATGTACACTAGGCACGACATCATTGTGTTCGCTAGTTCTAACTTTACCATACCTCACAATATATTCTGGTCTCTTATATTTGACATGCCTTATCCCATCATTTTGCTTATTATATTCGTCTAGTTGGCTATATTCAGATATTTGTGTACTTAATTACTTAGCATTATTTATTTTTAACTTCACTACGACTTTATTTTTAAATCCAAACAACTAGACGACGACTTGGTGATGTAATAGGTACTATTCTCAGCAACTTCATCGCTCTAGGACAAATTCAGTGACTTATGTTTAAAATATGTAAGCCGCCGAAGGAATATTCAGTCTACCATGACTGATACATTTGAGTGGCTAGAATCCTCTTACTGAATGCTATCGAACACCTAGGTGTCCCAGTTGGAACTGTTCTTTAGTACCACAAGAACCTGAAGAAACCAGTGGTGTTATATCAGTTCGACAAGACTATATTGGATATTGTTCCAGCTGTAGTGAGAATTCACGTATAAAACTGTAGAATCCCTAAGTTCTATAACGGAGAGCATAGTAAAGCCATACTAATTAACTTACATTTCGTAGCAGCTTGCGTCTATCCAAAAGGTAACTCCGGTTCTACACGAACATGCAGATTAGTATGAGTGAGAAGGGCTGGAAAAGGGAACATAGGAAAAGACCGAACAATGCAAGCCCATACAATGCACTTTAACCACTTAAGCAAGAGACAACAATCATCAATAACACAAACCTAAGGTTAAAACAATCTTGGAATCGGAACCAGAAGCAGATAGTTTTTATGTTACATATTCCAACCGCATAATAGAGCTGGTTATTACATGAACATAACTAAACCATAAAATCTTAAGGCTTTCTTGATCACTTTTCTCCCTCCAGGAACAACACACTATTTGTTACTACAAATAAGTAAATCGATATTCTTGATTTAGCAAAACAATGACTCATAATCTACTAAGAATTATGGTTATATAAGTCAGTGTCTAGTTAGTAACGCACCATCCGAAAGTTCGTCTTCAATATACAATATCTTCTACAACACATCAAATATCTTTAGTGACTTACTTTTATCAACAGAACGCGATTGGTGTGATGGAAACAGTTACTATTATAACCAATTGTACCAGAGATTGTTTTACTGTACTTGATCATTTAACTGTACTAAAGACATGCTTTTTTCTGTTGGTTGTGACCTTACACGAATTCGGTTGTGCTCAATAACCACACTTGTAACCTGGCAAAATATCGGTATTCTTTCGATACCACGAGATCGCCAACAAATACAACTCGACTACAGCCATCAACTGCCTTCTGTTATTTGGTCTACGGTAGATCTTATCGGTTAACTGGCACGTAGTTTTACCGTAGTGGTTATCTTAGTCAACCGCGACTCGACGCCACGTTACATATCTTTATCATGAGCATGTGTTTATATCTTGTTGTTTCAGTGGAGTTACATGTATCTGGTTATGTTCAATGGATAAAAGTCCAGTCGCTCGACTGCACCGTTTCTAGTGAATGTTGTAATTATCTATGGATTTGTTGGCCTAGTTTGATTGAGCGTGTTTGTATTGGGGCAGAAGGGTTCCTGAATACCAACAGCTATCACATTACTAGGCAGGATGTCGGTTGGTTGCAATAAGAATATGATAAAGTGATAATCCAAGTATTAGATGATTGTTTCAGGGTCAAATACTTAATTGATTGACAATATATAAGGAGATGGAGTAGAATGAGTTTTGGGGTAACTTAGATGATAATATGAGAGATGAAGAGTAGATACTGGTTGTGGAGTACTTATAACTGTGGTGATATATAAGACATTCATCAAATACAAATGGTTCAAGAGGGAGATAGTAATCCATGGGTGAGTACGTGTTTGAGGCTATGATAATTTGGTCTTGGAGAGCGTCACAATTAAGATCAACTCGTAATAAGAAAAGTAAGAGCGTACCTGGCTGTTCTCTCTCTGATTTGGGTTATCTCGAGGAGTTTGGTGTTGACGTTTTAATCATATGCTCTTACTTACTTACTTACTTACACCTGTTACTCCTCGTGAAGGAGCATAGGTCGCTCACCAGCATTCTCCATCCAACCCTGTCCTAGGCAATCCTTTCCAGCTCCTTCCAGTTGTAATTCATCCTTTTCATATCTGCTTCTATTATCCGACGTAATGTGTTCTTTGGCCTTCCTCTTTTCCGCTTCCCTTCAGGATTCCAAGTTAGAGCTTGCCTCGTGATGCAGTTTGACGATTTGCGTAATGTATGTCCTATCCATTTCCATCGTCTTTTCCTAATTTCTTCTTCAGCTGGAAGTTGGTTTGTTCTCTCCCACAGAAGGCTATTGCTGATGGTATCCGGCCAATGGATGTTGAGTATCTTGCGTAGACAGCTATTTATAAATACTTGTACCTTCTTGATTGTGGTTGTTGTAGTTCTCCAAGTTTCAGCTCCATACAGTAGAATTGCCTTGACATTCGTATTGAAGATTCTCACTTTGATATTGGTTGAAAGTTGTTTTGAGTTCCATATGTTCTTCAATTGTAGGGATGCGGCCCTTGCTTTGCCAATCCTCGCCTTTACGTCTGCATCTGAACCTCCCTGTTCATCGATGATGCTTCCCAGGTATGTGAAGGATTCTACATCTTCAAGAGTTTCGCCATCAAGGGTGATTGGATTGCTGTTCTCCGCTTTGAATTTGAGGACCTTGGTTTTCCCTTTGTGTATACTGAGGCCTACTGATGCAGAGACTGCTGCTACACTGGCTGTCTTCATCTGCATCTGTTCGTGTGTACGTGATAGGAGGGCTAGGTCATCTGCGAAGTCCAGATCGTCTAATTGATTCTGAGCTGTCCATTGTATTCCGTGTTTTCCTTCAGATGTTGAGGTCTTCATAATCCAGTCGACCACTACAAGAAAGAGGAAGGGAGAGAGTAAACAGCCTTGTCTGACTCCGGTCCTTACTTGGAATGCATCCGTCAGCTGTCCTCCATGCACTACTTTGCACTGTAGTCCGTCGTATGAGTTCCGGATAATATTGACAATCTTCTCAGGAACTCCGTAGTGTCGAAGAAGTTTCCATAATGTCCTCCTATCTACACTGTCGAATGCCTTTTCATAATCAATGAAGTTGATGTATAGTGACGAGTTCCACTCAACTGATTGTTCGACGATGATCCGTAGTGTTGCAATTTGGTCTGTGCACGACCGATCCTTTCGGAATCCAGCTTGTTGATCTCGAAGTTGGGCATCTACTGCATCCTTCATCCGGTTCAGCAACACTCTGTTGAAGACTTTCCCTGGTACTGACAGTAGTGTAATGCCTCTGTAGTTTTCACATTTGCTCAGATCTCCTTTCTTTGGAATCTTGATGAGGTGTCCTTCTTTCCAGTCCATCGGCACTTGTTCCTCCTCCCAAATCTTTTTGAATAGAGGGTAAAGCATGCTTGTGGTTACTTCGACGTCTGATTTCAGTGCTTCAGCTGGTATGTTGTCGGGTCCTGCTGCTTTCCCGTTCTTGATTTGTCTGACGGCCATTCTAATTTCTTCCGTCGTTGGTGGGTTGACCTCTATAGGAAGATCTGTGTGTGCTGCTTCGATGTTCGGTGGATTCATTGGAGCCGGCCTATTCAGGAGTTCCTCGAAGTATTCTACCCATCTGTTTCGCTGTTGTTGAATTTCAGTGATTGGTTTGCCTTCTTTGTCTTTGACCGGCCTCTCTGGTTTACTGTATTTCCCTGATAATTTCTTCGTTGTATCGTAAAGCTGTTTCATGTTTCTTTCTCTAGCAGCTTTTTCTGCCGTCGTTGCTAGTTCTTCAACGTATTTCTTCTTGTCGGCTCTAATGCTTCTCTTCACTTGCTTGTTTGCTTCTATGTATTCAGCTTGTGCTTGGACTTTCTCTGCTCGTGTTCGGCTGTTGTTAATTGCTGTCTTCTTGTTCTTCCTTTCTTTGATCTTATCCAGTGTTTCTATAGAGATCCATTCCTTATGATGGTGTTTCTTTAGACCCAGAACCTCTTGACACGTTGAAGTCAATGTTTCTTTGATGCCTTTCCAGTTGTCCTCCATGGTAGTTTCTTCTTCCTTCAGTAGATCTTGAAAGGCTTGGAACCTGTTGTTGAGAGCTATCTTGAATTCATTGAGTTTGACAGTATCTCGAAGGAGGGCTGTATTGAACCTTTGTAGTGCTGTTTGTCCACTTGTCCAGTTCTTTTTTAGCTTCAATTTTAAATTGGCTACAACTAGGTGGTGATCTGAAGCTACGTCAGCACCTCTCCTGGTTCTCACATCTTCCATTGTCCTTCGGAATTTTTTGTTGATGCAAATATGATCTATCTGGTTCTCTGTAGTGTGGTCCGGTGAGATCCATGTAGCCTTGTGTATACGCTTGTGTGGAAATATTGTGCCTCCTATGACTAATTTGTTGAATGCACACAAATTTGCAAATCTTTCTCCATTTTCGTTTCTTTCTCCCAGTCCATGTCGTCCCATAATATCTTCATATCCAGTGTTGTCTATTCCGACCTTGGCATTTAGATCTCCCATCAGAATGGTGAGGTCCTTTCTTGAGCATTTCTCTATGATTGACTGCAGCCGCTCGTAGAATTGATCTTTAATGTCGTCGTTGCTATCATTGGTGGGTGCATAACATTGGATAATATTCATTAAGATCCCCTCCTTCTTTGTTTTGAATGATGCTTTGATGATTCTGGATCCGTGGGATTCCCATCCTACAAGTGCATTTCGTGCTACTTTGGACAGCATTAGAGCAACTCCCTGAGTGTGTGGAGCATTTTCCTCTTCGTGACCGGAGTATAGCAGCATCTCTCCCGTAGCTAGCCTTTTCTGTCCAGCTTGGGTCCAGTGGGTTTCGCTGATTCCCAGTACTGCCAAGTTGTATCTCCTCATTTCCGTTGCTATTTGGCTGGTCTTCCCGGTTTCCCACATTGTTCGAACGTTCCATGTACCTATAAAAATTTTTGCTCTGGTTGTTAGAAGGGGCATCGGCCTCGTGGCTTCCGAATGAACTCGGCTTTCACCATGAAGCGTCATAATTCTTCTAAATGAAGACCTTCTAAATCTCAGGGCAGAGTTAAAATGGTTTGAATTATTTTTTCTGGCAAGCGTTTTTTTAGCGAGTTAGTTTTCTACGGGATGGGGACGCTAACCCCATGCCCAACCCTCCTCCTTTACCCGGGCTTGGGACCGGCAGTAACTCTAGAAGAGCTACAGGCGGAGGTAATTAGGTACACTTAATATTGTAGTGTCCGTTATTATTTTAAGCCCATATATCTTATTCTGGCTTTCGGACAGGCCAATCTATTCATTCTACTTGAGTCATATGTTGACCTTGTTAGTTATTCGCTTACCAGTCTTCACTGTTTTTATATGAGCGCATATGTGTGTAAATTTCCCATCCCATTCATCACATGTCTGTAGCTTATTTTTATCCGCCTATAAATATTGGTTAACGCCTGACTAAAATAAGTTGGCTTACCAGCCATCTCCATCCTGCATCACTTCTCTTCCTGCTGTTCTATTCACCTTATATACAAAGTATGCGTATTCAAAATCCCATTCTCGTTATTTGACTTATTTAATTCCGTTATTGACTAACGTGATTAAAGTCGAAGATGATATACGTGAATAGGCGATAGCAAACATCCATACGATCTAAATAGGAGTCAGATCCACGGGCCACTAAAATATGTTGTATACCATTACCAACTAATATCTTATTCTCCTGTGGTTCAACGAGAATAATCCCAAAGGTTAGATTCTGTCCTTGTGAGGTTAATATTTTAGCCTTATCACCCACTTGGTTACCCTCTCGGTACTTGGTTCACGAGACTTATGTCCTTTTCGAGGAGAAGTGGTGTAGCATCATTGTTGACCTCAATATATGGCCATTCGTACGTTTTAAACGGATTTCGAAACAACTCTGAGGTGATTGCACAAAGTTGTCTACGCATAAATTGTGGAGATGCATTTGCATTCTCTTCCATAGGGGTAAGTT